GGTGTGCTCAGGTGTGCCCAGGTGTATCTCAGGTGTGTTCAGGTGTGCCCAGGTGTGTGTTACCTGTACTCAGGTGTGCTCAGGTGTGCCCAGGTGTATCTCAGGTGTGTGTTACCTGTGCTCAGGTGTGCCCAGGTGTGTGTTACCTGTGCTCAGGTGTGTGATACATGTGCCCAGGTGTGTTATACCTGTTTCAGACGTCCTGGGTAACGCCCACGTGTCCCTGTTCTTCGCGGGGGGGCAGAGCCCCGGCAGCGCCCGGCGCGCGCTCGCGGCCTACGCCCAGGCGGTGAGAAAGGGGCGGGGCCTGTCCCTGCGGGGGCGTGGCTAATGGGGGTGGGGTTACAATGGGGGCAGGTGCTCGCGGCCTACGCCCAGGCGGTGAGAAAGGGGCGGGGCCTGTCCCCGGGGGGTGTGGCTAATGGGGGTGTGGTCAAACTGGAGGGTGGAGCCAGGCTGGGGGCAGAACCCACAGGCCACTGACAGGTGGGGAGGGGGTGGGGCTTAATCATAGGGGCGGGGCTACACAGGAGGCGTGGTCTGATAGGGGGCGTGGCTAACCCAGGGGTGTGGCTAACCCAGGGGGGTGGGGCAGCACCCATGGCCTATGCACGGGTGCTGAGAAAGGGGCGGGGCCGCACAGGGGGCGTGGTCTGACAATGGGTGTGGTCTAACTGGAGCCCCGCCCACTTTTCCAGGAGCGCGTGGACCCCGCGGCCGCCGCCAACCCCGACCTGCACCTGAACCGCGCCACGGTGAGAGGGGCGGGGCCTAGAGGGGGCGGGGCCTAAAGGAGGAAGGGGCCTAAAGGGGCGGGGTACAAGGGGGCGGGGCTGGAGCTACAATCCCCTCCCAGTACGAACCAGTACAAACCAGTTTAACCCAGTTTAACCCTTCCCCAGCTGCTGCAGTACCTGGAGCGGTTCCAGGGGGCGCTGGAGGGGCTCAGCCGCGCCTCCGACCTCGCCCCTCAGTGGGAGGAGCCTCGGCGACGTCACCAGCAGCTGATTGGCTACCTGGGGGACCTGTGCCGGCTGCTGGAGACTCGGGTAGGGGGGACTGGGATAAACTGGGAGGGACTGGGAGGGACTGGGGGAGGCGTGGCCAGCAGTGGGCGTGTCCCTAACAAAGCTCCGCCCCCAGGGGAAGCTGCGCGGGAAGCGCCGCAGGGGCGTGGCCGGGCCGGTGCCCCTCCCCCTGCTGGGCCCGCTGGGCGGGGCCGGGGGCCCGCGCCCCTCCCCCATCGCGGGGCTGCGACCGGGGCCCAACCCCCACAGGGTGGTGCTGGGGCGGGCCCTGTTCAGCCTGACCCCGCCCGGGGGCGTGCCCTAGTGAGTGACACTGGTTGGGAACTGGGAGGGACTGGGAGGGAACTGGGAGGGGCTTGGGGGTTACTGGTTTGTACTGGGAGGGACTGGGAGGGACTGGGAGGGAACTGGGAGGGAACTGGGAGGGGATTGGGGGTTACTGGTTTGTACTGGGAGGGACTGGGAGGGAACTGGGAGGGAACTGGGAGGGGATTGGGGGTTACTGGTTTGTACTGGGAGGGACTGGGACGGAACTGGGAGGGGTTTGGGGGTTACTGGTTTATACTGGGATGAACTGGGAGGGGATTGGGGGTCACCGGTTTATACTGGGAGGGGATTGGGGGTCACTGGTTTATACTGGGATGAACTGGGCTGCAATAGGGGGTGTGGTTTTTTAACTGACTCCTCCCCCTTGTGACGTCACAGCACGATTGGTCTCCAGGACGGGGGCGGGGCCGTGGCCGCCATCACCGTTTATAACTCCGCCCCCAATTGGGGCGTGGCCGTGGGGGACGCGGTGGGCGTGGCCGAGCCTGTGCTGAATCAGCACCTGCACCAGCACCAGGGACAGGTTTGTACTGGTTTGTACTGGTTTATACTGGTTTGGAATGGTTTATACTGGTTTGGAATGGTTTGGACCGGTTTATACTGGTTTGGACTGGTTTGGACTGGTTTGGACTGGTTTATACTGGTTTGGACTGGTTTGTACTGGTTTGGACCGGTTTATACTGGTTTGGACTGGTTTATACTGGTTTGGACTGGTTTATACTGGTTTGGACTGGTTTATACTGGTTTGGACTGGTTTGTACTGGTTTGGACCGGTTTATACTGGTTTGGACTGGTTTGGAATGGTTTGGACCGGTTTATACCGGTCCATACTGGTCTTTATTGTTTTTTACCATTTTTCCTCTTTTTTCTGGTTTTTCCTGGTTTTTTTTTCTACCGAAACTGGTCCATACTGGTTTTTACCGGCTTATACTGGTTTTTACCATTTTTTAAAAATTTTTTCTTTTTTTTTCCACCCAAACTGGTCCATACTGGTCCATACTGGTTTATACTGGATTTTACCATTTTTTTCACATTTTTTCTTTTTTTTTCCACCCAAACTGGTCCATACTGGTTTATACTGGTTTTTATTGCCTTATACTGTTTTTTTGCCATTTTTTTCGCATTTTTTCTGGTTTTTTCCACCCAAATTGGTCCATACTGGTTTATACTGGGAATTGGGATGAACTGGGAGGGTTTTTGGGGAATTTATGGCTGCAAAATGGGCAAAAAATCGGATTTTTAAAAGTTTTTTTCTATTTCTACCGGTCCATACTGGTTTATACTGGTTTATACTGGTTTATACTGGTCCATACTGGTTTATACTGGTCCATACTGGTTTATACCGGTTCATACTGGTTTATACTGGTCCTTACTGGTCCATACTGGTTTATACCGGTCCATACTGGTTTATACTGGTTTATACTGGTCCTTACTGGTTTATACTGGTCCTTACTGGTCCTTACTGGTCCCTCCCCCCTTTCCAGACGTTTTCCTTCGTTTCTCTCCGCGTCCCCTCCCCCCTCTCGCTGGTGGTGAACGGGAAACGCCCCCCGGGCCACGCCCTGGCCCCGCCCCACCTGGCGCTGACCAATCCCAGCGCGATGCCGGAGGAGCAGGCCACGCCCCCCGCCCGCTGCTGACCACGCCCACCCGGCATCATCCAATGGGGGTTTTGGGGCAATAAATGAGAAATTTGGGAAATTTGTGTGTGGTGTTTTCTGTGTGGGAGGGGCACAGGGGCGGCCATCTTGGATTGTGTCAGTGGGGGCGGCCATCTTGGATTGGTGGGAGCCATATTGGGTTGGTGTATGAGGGCGGCCATCTTGGATTGTGTCACAAAGGGGCGGCCATCTTGGGTGTGGAACGGGGGCAGCCATCTTGGGTTGTGTCACATGGGGCGGCCATCTTGGGTGTGGCACGGGGCAGCCATCTTGGATTGTGTCACATAGGGGCAGCCATCTTGGGTGGGGCACAGGGGCAGCCATCTTGGATTGTGTCACATGGGGCGGCCATCTTGGGTGTGGCACGGGGCAGCCATCTTGGATTGTGTCACATAGGGGCGGCCATCTTGGGTGTGGCATGGGGGCAGCCATCTTGGATTGTGTCACATGGGGCGGCCATCTTGGGTGTGGCACGGGGGGCAGCCATCTTGGGTTGTGTCACATAGGGGCGGCCATCTTGGGTGTGGCATGGGGCAGCCATCTTGGATTGTGTCACATGGGGCGGCCATATTGGGTGTGGCACGGGGGCAGCCATCTTGGGTTGTGTCACATGGGGCGGCCATCTTGGGTGTGGCACGGGGGCAGCCATCTTGGGTTGTGTCACATGGGGCGGCCATCTTGGGTGTGGCATGGGGGCAGCCATCTTGGATTGCATCACATGGGTGTGGCCATCTCTGATTGGTGGGAGCCATCTTGGGAAGGGTATGGGGTGGCCATCTTGGATTGTGTCACATGGGGCGGCCATCTTGGGTGTGGAACAGGGGCAGCCATCTTGGATTGTGTCACATGGGGCGGCCATCTTGGGTGTGGCACGGGGCAGCCATCTTGGATTGTGTCACATAGGGGCAGCCATCTTGGGTGGGGCACAGGGGCAGCCATCTTGGATTGTGTCACATGGGGCGGCCATCTTGGGTGTGGCCCGGGGCAGCCATCTTGGATTGTGTCACATAGGGGTGGCCATCTTGGGTGTGGAACGGGGGCAGCCATCTTGGATTGTGTCACATGGGGCGGCCATCTTGGGTGTGGAACGGGGGCAGCCATCTTGGATTGTGTCCCAAAGGGGCGGCCATCTTGGGTGTGGCACGGGGGCAGCCATCTTGGATTGCATCACATGGGTGTGGCCATCTCTGATTGGTGGGAGCCATCTTGGGAAGGGTATGGGGGTGGCCATCTTGGATTGTGTCACATGGGGCGGCCATCTTGGGTGTGGAACGGGGGCAGCCATCTTGGATTGTGTCACATGGGGCGGCCATCTTGGGTGTGGCACGGGGCAGCCATCTTGGATTTTGTCACATGGGGCGGCCATCTTGGGTGGGGCACAGGGGCAGCCATCTTGGATTGCAACACATGGGCGTGGCCATCTCTGATTGGTGGGAGCCATTTTGGGTGGGGTATGGGGGTGGCCATCTTGGATTGTGTCACATGGGGTGGCCATCTTGGATTGTTTTACATGGACATGGCCAACTTGGATTTGTGTTTATGGGCAGCCATATTGGATTGTGTCACGTAGGGGCGGCCATCTTGGATTGGTGGACGAGAGCCGCCATACTGAGTGGGGCACAAGGGCAGCCATCTTGGATTATGCCATATAAGGGCCGCCATATTGGATTGGTGTGTGGGGGCAGCCATCTTGGATTACGGCATATAAGGGCCGCCATATTGGATTGGTGTGTGGGGGCAGCCATCTTGGATTATGGCGTATAAGGGCCGCCATATTGGATTGGTGTGTGGGGGCAGCCATCTTGGATTACGGCATATTAGGGCCGCCATATTGGATTGGTGTGTGGGGGCAGCCATCTTGCATCGCAGCACATCAGAGCCTCCATCTTGGGCTGGTGGATGAGGCCGCCATCTTGTGTGGGTGTGTCCAACCCCTCTGGGCATGCCCCGCCCCTCGCCCCTCCCCCAGAGACCAAGCCACGCCTACAAACATCCGTCCTTTAATCGTCATCTCGAGGTATCAAAATTAACCGAGGGGGGCGGGGCTTGAGGGGGGCGGGGCCGTGTGAGGTAGGGTTGGGGGCGGGACCACAGGATAAAAGGGGGCGGGGCCAGAACTACGGAGGGCGGTGTGGGGTGGCAAAAGGGGCGGGGCCACGACAGCACGAGCACGGCAGGGGCGGGGCTGGGCAAGGGGGCGGGGCCGGGCGGGGGGCGGGGCTCAGGGCTCGTCCTCGCCGTTGGCGCTGTCCCGGTCGTCCTCGCCCTCCTCGGCCTCCTTCTCGTCCCCCTTGAGCGACTCCAGCTGGGAGGGGGGAAAAAAAGGGGCGGGGTCAGGGGGGAGGGGCCTCAAACCTGGCACCGCCCCCATAACCCCACTGGGGGTCACTGGTTTGTACTGGGAGGGGAATGGGAGGGGATTTGGGGTCACTGGTTTGTACTGGGAGGGGATTTGGGGTCACTGGTTTGTACTGGGAGGGGAATGGGAGGGGATTTGGGGTCACTGGTTTATACTGGTTTGTACTGGGAGGGCACTGGGGGGTACCTGTTCCATACTGGTCTATACTGGGATTGATGATCTGGGACAGGGCGGTGACTGGGAGGGCCCCTGGATGATCTGTACTGATCTATACTGGTCCATACTGGTTTATACTGGTCCATACTGGTCTATACTGGTCCATACTGGTTTATATTGGTCTCTCACCTGCTCGTCCCCCCGTTCCTTGCCCTCGTCATCGTCCAGCAGGGACAGGGGGGTTCCTAAAGGCTCTATACTGGTTTATACTGGTCTGTACTGGTCCATACTGGTCTATACTGGTCTATAATGGTTTTACCTGCTCGTCCCCCTGTTCCTCGCCCTCATCATCGTCCAGCAGGGACAGGGAGGAGTCCGTAAAGGCTCTATACTGGTCCATACTGGTTTATACTGGTCCATACTGGTCTATACTGGTCCATACTGGTTTATACTGGTCTCTCACCTGCTCGTCCCCCCGTTCCTCACCCTCATCATCGTCCAGCAGGGACAGGGGGGTTCCTAGGGGCTCTATACTGGTTTGTACTGGTCTATACTGGTCTGTACTGGTCTGTACTGGTTTATACTGGTTTGTACTGGTCTCTCACCTGTTCATCCCCCCGTTCCTCGCCCTCATCATCGTCCAGCAGGGACAGGGGGGTCCCTAGAGGCTCTATACTGGTTTATACTGGTCTGTACTGGTCTCTCACCTGTTCATCCCCCCGTTCCTCGCCCTCGTCATCGTCCAGCAGGGACAGGGGGGCCCTAGGGGCTCTATACTGGTTTGTACTGGTCTATACTGGCTCTATACTGGTCCATACTGGTTTATAATGGTTTGTACTGGTATTACCTGCTCGTCCCCCCGTTCCTCGCCCTCATCATCGTCCAGCAGGGACAGGGGGGCCCTAGGGGCTCTATACAGGCTCTATACTGGTCCATACTGGTCTATACTGGTCCATACTGGTCCATACTGGTTTGTACTGGTCTATACTGGTCTCTCACCTGTTCGTCCCCCCGTTCCTCGCCCTCGTCATCGTCCAGCAGGTCGCCCTCCTCGGCCGAGTCCTCGTGGCCGCCCTCGGCCTTGGCCCCGCCGGCCTCGTCCTTCTTGGAGCCGGAGCCGCCCTGCTCCTCCTCGGCCTTGTCGCTCTTGGCCTCTGCGTCGGGGGGAAAAACGGGGAAATTGGGGAAATTTGGGGAAATTTGGGGGAAAAATGGGGAAATTGGGGAAAATTGGGGGGAAATTTGGGGTTTGGGGAAATTGGGGAAAATGGGGAGAAAATTGGGGTTTGGGGGGAAAATGGGGGGATTGGGGAAAATGGGGAGAAAATGGGGGTTTGGGGAAAATGGGGAAATTGGGGAAAAATGGGGGAAATTTGGGGGTTTGGGGAAAATGGGGATTTGGGGGAAATTGGGGGAAAATGGGGGTTTGGGGGGAAAATGGGGGGAAATGGAGTTTGGGGGGAAAATGGGGGGATTGGGGGCAAAACGGGGAAATTGGGGAAATTGGGGGGTTTGGGGAAATGGGGAGAAAATGGGGGTTTGGGGAAAATGGGGGGAAATGGGGAGAAAATGGGGAAATTGGGGAAAATGGGGGTGTTTGGGTAAAATGGGGGGAAATGGGGAGAAAATGCGGGGGTTTGGGAAAAGTGGGGATTGGGGGGGAAAAGGGGGAAAATCGGGGAAAATGGGGAAATAGGGGAAAAATGGGGAGAAAACACAGGGATTTGGGAAAAATGGGGTTTGGGGTGAAAACACGGGAATTGGGGAAAATGGGGAAATTGGGGGGGTTTGGGGAAAATGTGGAAAAATGGGGTTTGGGGGGAAAACACGGGGGTTTGGGAAAAATGGGGGAAAATGGGGTTTGGGGGGGAAAAGGTTTTGGAAAAAGTGGGCGGAAATTGGGGAAAAATGGGGAAAAAAAAGGGGGTTTGGGGGGAAAACAGGGTAGAAATGGGGATTTGGGGGGGGAAAATGGGGGTTAGGGAAAATTGGGGGGAAAAATGGGAGTTTGGGGGGCAAAAATGGGAGTTTGGGGGGCAAAAATGGGAGTTTGAGGAAAATTTCGGGGGTTTTGGGGTTCCCGCCCAGCCCGAATTTTGGGGTTTTCCATCCCCCCAAATGTTGGGGCTCCCATCTCCCAGATTTTGGGTTTTTCCCCCCAAATTTGGGCTTTACTCACTCTGCTCCCGCTCCAGCCGCTCGAGGCTCTCCAGGAGCGCGTCCACCTTGGCCTTGATCTGCCCCAGCTCCTTCTTGATGCTCTGCAGGTCGTCCCCTTTCACTGGAATTCACCCCAAAAATTGTGTCAGAAACGGCCATTTTGGGACTGGGACAGCCGTTGTCCCCTTTCACTGGAATTCACCCCAAAAATCCCCTCAGATTTTACTGCAAATTCACCCAAAAACGTGGTCAGAAAACGCCATTTGGGACTGGGACAGCCGTTGTCCCCTTTCACTGGAATTCACCCCAAAAATCCTGTCAGATTTCACTGAATTCACCCCAAAAAATCCTGTAAGATTTTACTGAAAATTCACCCCAAAAATCCTGTCAGATTTTATTGGAAATTCACCCCAAAAATCCTCTCAGATTTCACCGGAATCACCCCAAAAACGTGGTCAGAAATTGCCCCAGCTCCTCCTATTTCACCGGAATTCACCCCAAAAATCCCCTCAGAAGCGGCCATCTTGGATTGGGGCAGCCATCTTGGATTAGGACATGGGGGCGGCCATCTTGGATTGAGCTACGGGAGCCGCCATGTTGGATTGTGTGCTGCCATTTTGGATTACTCATGGCAGCGGCCATATTGGATAACTCCAAGGGCAGCCATATTGGATTATTGATGGCAGCGGCCATATTGGATGACTCCCAAGGGCGGCCATATTGGATTATTGATGGCAGCGGCCATATTGGATAACTCCCAAGGGCAGCCATATTGGATTATTCATAGCAGCAGCCATATTAGATCACTCCAGCAGCCATATTGGATTATTGATGGCAGCAGCCATATTGGACAACTCCCAAGGGCAGCCATATTGGATAACTCCCAGAGGCAGCCATATTGAATTTCACGCTGCCATACTGGAAAACTCTCAAGGGCGGCCATATTGAATTATTCCTCTCAACCCTGCTTACGTTTCCCAGACTTGGAGGAGGATCCCCTCTGCCCGGATTTGCTGTTGAAGCTCTTGCCCCGCCCCTTTCCCCTTTAGCCCCGCCCATTTCCCCGCCCAATCCCTTACGTTTCCCAGACTTTGAGGAGGATCCCCCCTGTCCGGATTTGCTGTTGAAGCTCTTGCCCCGCCGGGAGGTGTTTCCCCCTTTAGCCCCGCCCCTTTCCCCCTTAGCCTCGCCCCTTTCCCCGCCCTTTCCCTTACGTTTCCCGGACTTTGAGGAGGATCCCCTCTGCCCGGATTTGCTGTTGAAGCTCTTGCCCCACCGGGAGGTGTTTCCCCCTTAGCCCCGCCCCTTTCCCCATTAGCCCCGCCCCTTTCCTTACGTTTCCCGGACTTTGAGGAGGATCCCCTCTGTCCGGATTTGCTGTTGAAGCTCTTGCCCCGCCCCTTCCCCCTTAGCCCCGCCCCTTTCCCTTACGTTTCCCAGACTTTGAGGAGGATCCCCTCTGCCCGGATTTGCTGTTGAAGCTCTTGCCCCGCCGGGAGGTGTTTCCCCCCTTAGCCCCGCCCCTTTCCCTTTAGCCCCGCTCCTTTCCCCGCCCATTCCCTTACGTTTCCCGGACTTTGAGGAGGATCCCCTCTGGCCGGATTTGCTGTTGAAGCCTTGCCCCGCCCCTTCCCCCTTTGCCCCGCCCCTTTCCCCGCCCATTCCCTTACGTTTCCCAGATTTGGAGGACGTTCCCCTCTGCCCGGATTTGCTGTTGAAGCTCTTGCCCCGCCGGGAGGTGTTTCCCCCTTAGCCCCTCCCCTTTCCCCCTTTGCCCCGCCCCTTTCCCTGACCAATCCCTTACGTTTCCCAGACTTTGAGGAGGATCCCCTCTGCCCGGATTTGCTGTTGAAGCTCTTGCCCCGCCGGGAGGTGTTTCCCCCTTAGCCCCTCCCCTTTCCCCCTTTGCCCCGCCCCTTTCCCTGACCAATCCCTTACGTTTCCCAGACTTTGAGGAGGATCCCCTCTGTCCGGATTTGCTGTTGAAGCTCTTGCCCCGCTGGGAGGTGTTTCCCCCTTAGCCCCGCCCCTTCCCCCTTTGCCCCGCCCCTTTCCCCGCCCATTCCCTTACGTTTCCCGGACTTTGAGGAGGATCCCCTCTGTCCGGATTTGCTGTTGAAGCTCTTGCCCCGCCGGGAGGTGTTTCCCGAGACGCGCTGGCGCTTGGAGGGCACCACGGCGCGGGCGATGGGCGGCGGCGGCGGCACGCGGGCGGGGGTAGCTGTACATCCTGCGGGGGGGGGGGGGCACCGCGTCAGCCGCGCCGGCGCCGGGGGCACGGGGGGCGCAGGGGGGGCACGGGGGGCACGGGGAGAGGGGAGGAGGAGGGGATGGGGGGTGTAGGGTCCCTAACCCGCTCTGAACTGGTTTATACTGGTACCGGTCATAGTAATCCCGCTGGAAGTCGTAGTCCAGGTCAAACGATGACCTGGGGGGGGTGGGGGGGTGAGGGAAGTCAGATCCAGACAAAATAAAAGACACGGAAAGGGAAAGCCCTCCCCAAAAAATGCCCCTGGGACATCCCAAATATCCCCGAAAACCCCCCTGGGACACCCCAAAAATGCCCCTGGGACACCCCAAATACCCCCCAAAACCCCCCTGGGACACCCCAAAAATCCCCCAAAAACCCTCCCGAAAAAATACCCCTGGGACACCCCAAATATCCCCAAAAAACCCCTGGGACAACCCAAATACCCTCCCCAAAAAACCCCTGGGACAACCCAAATACCCTCCCCAAAAATGCCCCTGGGACAACCCAAATACCCTCCCCAAAAAATTACCCTGGGATTGCCAAAATGCCTCCCAAAAAGGCCCTGGGACACCCCAAAAACCCTCCCAAAAATGCCCCTGGGACACCCCAAATATCCCCCAAAAACCCCCCAAAAACCCTCCCCAAAAAATACCCCTGGGACATCCCAAATATCCCCCAAAAAAAGCCCCTGGGACACCCCAAAACCCCTGCCCAAAAAGTACCCTGGGACACCCCAAATACCCCCCAAAACCCCTCCCCAAAAATTACCCTGGGACACCCCAAATATCCCCCCTGGGACACCCCAAAACCCCTCCCCAAAAAACCCCTGGGACAACCCAAATACCCTCCCCAAAAATTACCCTGGGATTGCCAAAATGCCCCTGGGACACCCAAAAACCCCTCCCCATGGAATACCCTGGGACACCCCAAATACCCCTTAAAAAATACCGTGGGATTGCCAAAACCCTCCCCAAAAACCCCCTGGGACACCCCAAAACCCCTCCCTAAAAAATGCCCCTGGGACACCCCCAAATATCCCCCAAAAACCCCAAATACCCCCCAAAAACCCTCCCCAAAATGCCCCTGGGACACCCCAAATACCCCCTAAAAAATACACTGGGATCGACAAAATGCCCCTGGGACACCCCAAATCCCCCCAGAATCCCCAAAATTCCCCCCAAAACCCCCTTGAGATTCTCAAATATCCCCTGGGACACCCCAAAACACCTGGGACACCCCAAAACCCCCCCAAAAAAATTCTGGAATCGACAAAAAAACCTTGGGAAACCCAAAACCCTCCCAGAATAAACAAAAACCCCTCAAAAACCCCTTGGACACCCCAAACCCTCCCAGAATCCCCAAAATCCCCCCAAAAAAACCCTGGGATTCCCAAAAAAAGATTTTGGGGATCTGGGACACCCCAAACCCCTCAGAATCCCCAAAATCCCCCCAAAAAAACCCCTGAGATTCTCAAAAACAGATTCTGGGGAACTGGGACACACCAAACCCCACAGAATCCCCAAATTCCCCCCAAAAAACACCCTGGGATTCCCAAAACCAGATTCTGGGTATCTGGGACACCCCAAACCCCCCAGAATGTCCCCAAAAACCCCAAATTCCCCCCAAAAAATCCCTGGCATTCCCAAAAACAGATTCTGGGAATCTGGGACACCCCAAACCCCTCAGAATCCCCAAAATCCCCCCAAAAACCCCCTGGGATTCTCAGAAACTCCTGGGACACACAAACCCCCCCAGAATCCCCCGAAAAATCCCTTGGGACACCTCAAACGCCCCAAAACCACCCTGGGACAACCCAAACCCTCCCAAAACCCCAAAATCCCCCCCAAAACCCTCCCTGGGATTCCCAAAAACAGATTCTGGGGAACTGGGACACCCCAAACCCCCTCAGAATGTCCCCAAAAACCCCAAATTCCCCCCAAACCCCCCCTGGGATTCCCAAAAACAGATTCTGGGGATCCGGGACACCCCAAACCCCCTCAGAATGTCCCCAAAAACTCCAAATCCTCCCCAAAAATTCCCTGGGATTCCCAAAAACTCCTGGGACACCCCAAACCCTCCCAGAATCCCCAAAATCCCCCCAAAAACCCCCTGGGATTCCCAAAACCAGATTCTGGGGATCTGGGACACCCCAAACCCTCCAGAATCCCTCCAAAAAACCCAAATTCCCCCCAAAAAATCCCTGAGATTCCTAAAAACAGATTTTGGGGACCTGGGACACCCCAAACCCCTCAGAATCCCCCAAATCCCACCTGGCCCCCCCCAAAACCCCCCCAATTTCCCTTCAGAGCCCCCCAAAGCCCCCTCAGAGCCCCCCCAAAACCCCAGATTTGCCCGGATTTGCCCGGGTTTTCCCGAAACGGCCGCGATTGGCCCCGAAAGCGCCGCCCCCAGGGTCCCCACCTGACGAGGGGGGACGGTGACGGGGGGGCGGGTACTGACCCGTACATCTCGGCCGCCGAGCGCTTCACGCCCCGCCTTGCCCCGGTTCACCTTCGGCTCGGCCGCCAGGTTGATGTCTGAGGGGGATTTGGGCAAATTTGGGTCATTTTGGGGCAGTTTGGGGCATTTTGGGGTGGTTTGGGGCAGTTTGGGGTGGTTTGGGGCAGTTCAGGGGGGTTTGGGGCAATTGGGGCAGTTTGGGTTTCACGCCCGCCTTGCCCCGGTTCACCTTCGGCTCGGCCGCCAGGTTGATGTCTGTGGGGGGATTGGGGCAAATTTGGGTCATTTTGGGGCAGTTTGGGTCATTTTGGGTCATTTTGGGGCAGTTCAGGGGGGTTTGGGGCGGTTTCGGGTAAATTGGGCAGTTTGGGTTTCACGCCCGCCTTGCCCCGGTTCACCTTCGGCTCGGCCGCCAGGTTGATGTCTGGGGGGATTTGGGTCATTTTCAGTCATTTTGGGGTGATTTGGGTCATTTTGGGCAGTTTGGGTCATTTTGGGGCGGTTTGGATCAGTTTGGGGTGATTTGGGGTGGTTTCGGGCAGTTCAGGGGGTTTGGGTTTCACGCCCACCTTGCCCCGGTTCACCTTCGGCTCGGCCGCCAGGTTGATGTCTGAGGGGGGATTGGGTCATTTTGGGCTGATTTGGGGCAGTTTGGGTCATTTTGGGGTGATTTGGGTCATTTTGGGTCGATTTGGGGCAGTTCAGGTGGGTTTGGGGCAGTTTTAAGAGGTTTGGGCCAGTTTGGGGAGGGGGTGACCTCAGGAGGGTCCAAGGAATGGGGCAAAAAGACCCAAAAATGGCTCAAAATGAGCCCAAAATGACCGAAAACTGACCCCAAAGTGACCAAAAACTGACCTCAGGAAAGACCCCAAAGTGACCACAAAGTGACCCCCAAAGTCACCACAGAGTGACCCCAAAACTGACCCCAAAATGTCCAAAAACTGACCCCAGGAATGACCTCAAAGTGACCCCAAAACTGACCACAAAGTGACCACAAAACTGACCCCAAAGTGACCACAAAACTGACCCCAAAAAAGACTCCAAACTGACCCCAAAACTGACCACAAAGTGACCACAAAACTGACCCCAAAAAAGACCCAAAACCGACCCCAAACTGACCCCCAAAACTGACCACAAAGTGACCCCAAAACTGACCACAAAGTGACCCCAAAGTCACCACAGAGTGACCCCAAAAGTGACCCCAAAATGACCAAAAACTGGCCCCAAAGTGACCACAAAGTGACCACGAAGTGACCACAGAGTGACCCCAAAAATGACCCCAAAGTGACCACAGAGTGACCCCAAAAATGACCCCAAAGTGACCAAAAACTGGCCCCAAAGTGACCCCAAAAATGACCACAAAGTGACCACAGAGTGACCCCAGAACTGACCCCAAAGTGACCACAAAGTGACCCCAAAATGAGCGCAAATTGACCAAAAGCTGACCCCAAAGTGACCCCAAAGTGACCCCAGGAATGACCATCAGTGACCCCACAATGACCATCAGTGACCACCAGAACTGACCAGTGACCCCAGACTGACCCAGAGTCCAAAGTGGCTCCAAAAAGCACCAAAACCACCCCAAAATGACCACGGGCATCCACGAGTGACCAGGAGTGACCACGGTCACCTCCCTGACCACCTGAGCCCACAACAGCTCCAAAAAGCACCAAAACCACCCCAAAATGACCACGGGCATCCACGAGTGACCAGGAGTGACCACAGTCACCTCCCTGACCACCTGGAGACACAAACACGTCCAAAAACCACCAAAATTGAGCTGAAAACCACCCAAAATGACCACGAGCATCCACAGCTGACCACGAGTGACCATGGCCACCTCACTGACCACCTCCATGACCACCACTGGTCCAAGCAACTGTGAGGATCCTCCTGTCCCACACCCAGAGACTCCATAACACCTCACAGAACCTTGTTTAATGACCATAACTGACCATGAGTGACCAGGGCCACCTCACTGCTGAGCTCCCTGACCATCATTGCTCCATCCAAACATGGAGGTCCTCCTGTCCCACCCTTGGAGACTCCATAACACCTCACAGAACCTCCCTCGGACCAACCACAAGTGTCCAGAATGACCGTGAGTGACCAGGGCCAACTTGCTCCTGAGCTCCCTGACCATCACTGCTCCATCCAAACATGGAGGTCCTCCTGCCCTCTTCTCAGAGACTCCATAACACCTCACAGAACTTTACTCAGACCAACCACAAGGGCCCAGGATGACCATGAGTGACCATGGCCACCTCGCTGACCACCTCCATGACCATCACTGCTCCATCCAAGTGTGAGAATCCTCCCGTTCCAGCCTCAGAGACTCCATAACACCTCACAGAACCTCCCTCGGACCAACCACAAGGGCCCAGGATGACCATGGCCACCTCGCTGACCACCTCCATGACCATCACTGGTCAAATACAACACCAGGATCCTCCTGTTCCACCCTCAGAGACTCCATAACACCTCCCAGAACCTCACTCAGGATGACCATGAGTGACCAGGGCCACCTCGCTGACCACCTCCCTGACCATCACTGGTCAAACCTGAGATGGGGATCCTCCTGCCCTCTTCTCAGAGACTCCATAACACCTCCCAGAACCTCCCTCGGACCAACCACAAGGGCCCAGGATGACCATGAGTGACCATGGCCACCTCGCTGCTGAGCTCCCTGACCATCACTGGTCCATCCAAACATGGAGGTCCTCCTGCCCTCTTCTCAGAGACTCCATAACACCTCACAGAACCTTGTTTAGTGACCATAACTGACCATGGCCACCTTGCTGACCACCTCCATGACCATCACTGGTCAAACCTGAGATGGGGATCCTCCTGCCCTCTTCTCAGAGACTCCATAACACCTCCCAGAACCTCACTCAGACCAACCACAATTATCCAGAATGACCATGAGTGACCGGGGCCACCTCGCTGACCACCTCCCTGACCATCACTGGTCAAATATAACATCAGGATCCTCCTGTTCCAGCCTCAGAGACTCCATAACACCTCACAGAACCTTGCTTAATGACCATAACTGACCATGAGTGACCAGGGCCACCTCGCTGACCACCTCCATGACCATCACTGGTCAAATATAACATCAGGATCCTCCTGTTCCAGCCTCAGAGACTCCATAACACCTCACAGAACCTCACTCAGACCAACTGCAAACGTCCAGGATGACCATGAGTGACCATGGCCACCTCGCTGACCACCTCCCTGACCATCACTGGTCAAACCTGAGATGGGGCTCCTCCTGTTCCACCCTCAGAGACTCCATAACACCTCACAGAACCTCACTCAGGATGACCATGAGTGACCATGGCCACCTCGCTGACCACCTCCCTGACCATCATTGCTCCATCCAAGTGTGAGGATCCTCCTGTCCCACCCTCAGAGACTCCATAACACGTCCCAGAACCTCCCTCGGACCAACCACAAGGGCCCAGGATGACCATGAGTGACCATGGCCACCTTGCTGCTGAGCTCCCTGACCATCACTGGTCCATCCAAACATGGAGGTCCTCCTGCCCTCTTCTCAGAGACTCCATAACACCTCACAGAACTTTACTCAGACCAACCAAAAGCGTCCAGAGTGACCATGGCCACCTTGCTGACCACCTCCATGACCATCACTGGTCAAATACAACATCAGGATCCTCCTGTTCCACACCCAGAGACTCCATAACACCTCACAGAACCTTGTTTAGTGACCATAACTGACCATGAGTGACCATGGCCACCTTGCTGACCACCTCCATGACCATCACTGGTCCATCCAAACATGGAGATCCTCCTGTTCCAGCCTCAGAGACTCCATAACACCTCACAGAACCTCACTCAGACCAACCACAATTATCCAGAATGACCATGAGTGACCATGGCCACCTTGCTGACCACCTCCCTGACCATCACCAGTCAAATATAACATCAGGATCCTCCCGTTCCAGCCTCAGAGACTCCGTAACACCTCACAGAACCTTGTTTAATGACCATAACTGACCATGAGTGACCATGGCCACCTCGCTGACCACCTCCATGACCATCACTGCTCCATCCAAACATGGAGGTCCTCCTGCCCTCTTCTCAGAGACTCCATAACACCTCACAGAACTTTACTCAGACCAACCAAAAGCGTCCAGAATGACCATGGCCACCTTGCTGACCACCTCCATGACCATCACTGCTCCATCCAAACATGGAGATCCTCCTGCCCTCTTCTCAGAGACTCCATAACACCTCCCAGAACCTCCCTCAGGATGACCATGAGTGACCATGGCCACCTCACTGCTGAGCTCCATGACCATCACTGCTCCATCCAAGTGTTAGGATCCTCCTGCCCTCTTCTCAGAGACTCCATAACACGTCCCAGAACTTTACTCAGACCAACCACCAGGGCCCAGGTGACCGTGACTGACCTAGCACCTGGCCGGCGATCATGCGCCCGTCCTCCCCGGCCACGGCGGCGCGGGCGTTGCGCTCGTTGACGTACTGCACGAAGGCGAAGCCCTTGTGCACGGAGCAGCCGACGATCTTGCCGTACTTGGAGAAGATGGCCTCCACGTCGCTCTTCTTCACCACCAGCGTGTTGAGGTTGCCGATGAAGACGCGCGAGTTGAGCGAGCGAGGGTCCGTCTTGTTGGTCACGTTGCTGGCCATGGCGGTGGGCGGGGAAAGGGGCGGGGCCTGCGGGGAGGGGAGGGCGGGGTTAGTGGGTGGGGTGGGGACAAGTGGGGCCGACCAAGAAATGATAAAAATAAAGCTCCAAAAATCCCCAAAACCCACCTGGAATAACCACAAAAATAACAAAAAATCACCTGGAAACACCCCAAAAATAACAAAAAATCACCTGGAAACACCCCAAAAATAACAAAAAATCACCTGGAAACACCCCAAAAATAACAAAAAATCACCTGGAAACACCCCAAAAAATAACAAAAAATCACCTGGAAACACCCCAAAAAAATTTTAAAAATTACCTGGAAACATCCCAAAAAATTTAAAAAATCACCTGGAAACACCCCAAAAAAATTTTAAAAAATCACCTGGAAACACCCCAAAAAAATTTAAAAAAATCACCTGGAAACACCCCAAAAAAAATTAAAAAAATCACCTGGAAACACCCCAAAAAATAACAAAAAATCACCTGGAAACACCCTAAAAAAATTTAAAAAAATCACCTGGAAACACCCCAAAAGAATTTAAAAAATCACCTGGAAACACCCCAAAAAATAACAAAAAATCACCTGGAAACACCCCAAAAAAAATTAAAAGATCACCTGGGATCACCCCAAAAAAATTTAAAAAATCACCTGGAACCACCCCCAAAAAAATTAAAAGATCACCTGGAACCACCCCAAAAAAACCCCACAAAAAATAAGCGGGAAACATTTGAAAAATAACAAAAAATGTCTAAAAATCACCAAAACCAATGTGGAAGCACCCAAAAAATAAAAACCTCTAAAAAACACCAAAATCACCTGGAACTACCCCAAAAAAAATCACCTGGAAGCACCCCAAAAAATTATTAAAAAATAATAAGCTGAAAGCACTTGAAAAATAACAAAAACCATCTAAAAAATAGCAAAACCAATGTGGAAGCACCCAAAAAATAAAAACCTCTAAAAAACACCAAAATCACCTGGAAACACCCCAAAAAATTAAAAAATAATAAGCTGGAAGCATTTGGAAAGTAACAAAAACCATCTAAAAAATAGCAAAACCAATGTGGAAGCACCCAAAAATAAAAACCTCTAAAAAACACCAAAAGCACCTGGAACCACCCCAAAAAAAACCCCAAAAATGTCCAAAAACCTCCAAAATCCAGCTGGAACCACCCAAAACCACTAAAAATGTCCAAAAAGCCAAAATCCACCTGGAGCCACCCAAAAATAACTGAAAATACCCCAAAATCCCAAATTCCAGTGGAACCAGGCAAAAAGACCCAAAAAGCCCCAAAATCCACCCAAAGCAGGAACTGAAAATGCCCAGAAAGCCCCAAAATCACCTGGAACCCCTGGGGCTCCTTCTCCCTTCATTAGCATCTCATTAACAGCTCATTAGCATCTCATTAGCATCAGCAGCACCGCGCAGCCACCCCCCTCACCTTCGTTAACCCCGCCCCTCATTAATTCTGGTAATTGGCCAGCCCTCATTAGCATCAGGCAGGGTAATTAGCATAATTAACGAGGAGCCAGTTGGCTGCAGCCTCCCCCCAATTAATGCTAATTAGCTCCAACCTCGCAGATTGTTGCTAATGAACGTTGACTAATTACCCTCCCAATTATTAGGAATTAATTAACATAAAACTCAAAGTACCCCGCCTGATTAATAAGGGTTAATTAGCATAAAGTTTAAGATGCTCAGCAGCGCTAATTAGCGGCATTGATGCTGCCCTTTGACCTTTGTTAACAAATTATTTATACTAATTAAGCACTTCCATTAAGTATGGCAATTAGCATAATTAATAAGGTAATTAATTAATGATTATTAGCATTAATCATGCCAATTAACACTGCAAAGCCGAACGACTGCTGACAATGCCCAATTAACGTCCTTAATTAGCTCTGAATGCGTAATGAGGGGTCCCAGCCCCTGATTGGTCGGCCTGCCTTCGGGCTAATTTGCATATGAAGGAAGCTCCGCCTCTTACCGTGGGGGGAGGGGCTCCGGTGGGGGGGAGGGGCGTCCGTGGGTCGGCGGCGGCGAAGGGGGCGGGGCAAAGGGACGGAGGGGGCGTGGCCAAAACGGGACAGGGGGCGGGGCTTAGCGAGAGGGGGAGGAGCTGAGCCAAAGAAGCCCCAGGAGGAAAAAAAAAAAAAAAAAAAAAAATTAAAAATAAAAAATTAAAAAAAAAAAATTAAAAATAAAAAAATCTGGGGAAAAAACCAATTAAAAAATAAAAAAACAATTAGAAAAATAAAAAATTAAAAAAAAAAAAAATTTAAAAATTTTCCTGAATTTTTCCCCTGAAAATGCAGCGAGGGGGGAGAGGGGGGGGAGGGGCCAGGCCCCGCCCCCCGCTTGGTTTTGGGGCCATTTTGGGCCATTTTGGGCCATTCTGGGGCCGTCCTAGACCATTGCAGGGCCGCTTTTGGGGCATTTTTGGCCATTCCGGGGCAGTTTCGGGGCGATGGGGGGGGAGGGGCCGTGGGCAGGGTGGGGGGGAGGGGCGCGATGGGCGTGGCTTAGGGGCCGAGGGGGAGGGGCAAAACCCGCATGAATAATTTATCCGGGAGGAGGAGGAGGAGCAAAGGGGGGGAGAAAAAGGGGGGGAGCAGTAAAAATAATTAAAAAAAAAAAAAAAAAAAAAACCACCAATAATAATAATAATAATAATAATAATAATAATAATAATAATAATAATAATAATAATAATAATAATAAAAAAACCGACAATAATCAGGAAAAAAAAACGAAAACTTGTGGAACTTACGGTCGCCGCCGGCTCAAAAAAATCGCGCTGTGGACAAAAAAGAGACAAAAAAAATGCAAATTGGGGGGGGCGGGGGGAGGGGCCAGAGGGGGGAGGGGCCGCCCCTCCCCCTCCTCCGCCCCGCCCCCAGCTGCGCCCCGCCCCCACCGCGTCAAAACCCCCCGAGTTTCGCTCTGATTCCAGTTCAGCGTTTTCTCACTTTTTCCCCCTTTTTTTCTTTAAATAAAAACCTCCAAAATCGGGCGGATTCAGCCCAAAACGGCACCGGGGGAGGGGGAAGGAGGGGCTAAGGGAAGGGGAGGGGCTAAGGGGGAGGGGCTAAAGGGAGGGGGAGGGGCCGGTCCGGGCGCACCTGCGGAAGGAGAGAAGGTTGAGAGACCCCTCCCCCCACCCCCGTGCCCAGGCCCCGCCCACGCTGCGCACAGGCCACGCCCACCGAGCCCTGACCACGTCCCCTCGTGGAGTGGGGTGGGGGGCAGCGGTTGGGGTGAAAAACGGGGGATTTTGGGACTGGGAGAAACGGGGTTGGGGGGGGAAGAAAAATTGGGGGGGAATTGGGCAAATTTGGGGAGTTTGTCCCCAAAACTGGGGGGAACCCACAGGAACCTGCTCTGTCCGGGAAAAATGGGAAAAACTGGGGCAAAAAACGGGGGAAATTGGGAAAAATTGGGAGAAAATGGGAAAAATGCGAGGGAAATGGGGCAAAAATGGGGGAAATTGGGAAAAATTGGGACAAAATGGGGAAAAATGCAAGGGAAATGGGGCAAAAATGGGGGGAAATTGGGAAAAATTGGGAGGGAAACAGCAAAAATGGGGGGAAATTGGGAAAAATTGGGAGAAAATGGGGAAAAATGCGAGGGAAATGGGGCAAAAATGGGGGAAATTGGGAAAAATTGAGAGAAAACAGCAGAAATGGGGGAAAATTGGGAAAAATTGGGAGAAGAAACGGGAAAAATGCGAGGGAAATTGGGAAAAAATTGGGAGGAAACAGGAAAAATGGGGGGGAAATTGGGAAAAATGCGAGGGAAATGGGGCAAAAATGGGGGAAATTGGGAAAAATTGGGAGAAAATGGGAAAAATGCGAGGGAAATGGGGCAAAAATGGGGGGAAATTGGAAAAAAAAAATGGGGGAAAATGAGGAAAATGTGGGGGAAATTGGAAAAATGGAGGGAAAATGGTGGAAATTGGGAAAATATGGGGGGAAATTGGGAAAACATTCAGGAAATTTAGAAAAATGGAGAAAAATTGGGAGAAAATTTGGAAAATGGGGGGAAATTGGGAAAAATTGGGGAAAAATCAGGGGGAAATTGGGGAAAAATGGGGGAAATCGGAGAAATTGGGATAAAATGTGGGGAAAGATTTGGAAAAAATGGGAGGGAAAATGGGAGAGAAATTTAGAAAACAGGGAGAGATCGGGAAAAATGAGGGGAGATTAGGGCAAATTTGGGAAAAATTGAGTGAAATTATGGGGGTAATCAGGCAAAATGAGAGGAAACCGGGAAAAATTGGGTGAAATATTGGAAAAATGGAGCAAAAATGGGGGAAAAATTGGAAAAGGGTTGAGAAAAATCAGGAGAAATTGGGAAAAATTGGAGAAAGGTGGGAAAAATGGGCAAAAACCACTTGGAGTTGGGGCCACACCAGTTTTAACTAGGCCAGAGCAGTTTAAATTGCCCAAAACCAGTTTAAATCACCCCAAACCAGTTTAAATCACCCCAAACAAGTTTAAAATAGAACGGGACCTCCTGGAGTTCGAAGGATTTGGGGATTTAGCCCAAAAAAAACGAGGAAAATTCCGGTTTTGGGCTCCCAAAATTGGGGGGAAAAGGAGAAAAACGCCAGGGATTTAAAAAAGTTGAAAGCGGAGGGGTCGGGAATCCCAAAATCTGCTGGAAAAGGAGAAATTTGGGGATTTGGATGCAAAGCGCAGAGGTACCAGCCCCCAGGGGTGCTAATTAAGCCTTTGATGAGTTTAATTAAAGTTTTCAATGCCCCAAAACGCGGGAAGGCCACGCCCACAGCGGAACAGGCCCCGCCCCTCGCTGTGAACCCCGCCCCTCACGAGTTTATTAATTCTTAATTACGTTAATTATCCCCGTAGCGCTTAGCCACGCCCCCCGAGGGGATATTTATGCATATAAAAGGCACCGATGTAATTAATAAGGCTCAAGGGCTTAATTAACCTCAGAGGTTAATCAGGGCTAAGCCGCGCCCCCCTTCGGGGTCAACCCCGCCCCCAAGATGCGTTAATCAAAGCCGGAGCCAATTAATTACCGCGCTAATGAGCAAACCACGCCCCCTTAGCGACGCTCCGCCTCTCGAGCCAAACCACACCCCCGGCGGCGTTAATTACGGCCCCGAATGGGTTAATTAACACTCTCCGCCGGGCTAATTAGCTCAATGAGCTTTTAAATGAGCTTTTTAAACAGATTAGGCCCCGCCCACAGCCGCTCTGGCCCCGCCCCTGCCCTCACGGCTCTGAGGGGGCCGCCCCCCCCCCGCCCCCCCCCCCCTCTTTTCCCGCCTCGCTCCCTCACGCGCCGCCGCCGTCTCCGCCCCTCCCCCCCCTTTGCCATTTCCCCTCACAGCCCCGCCCGGGGGAGCCCCCCCGAACCTTCGAGAACCCCCCGGAGCCCCGGCGGGACCCGCCCGGAGCCGCCCCCCGCTGCCCCCTCACCGCTCCGGGCACCGCCGCCGCCGCCGCCGCTTCCTCCGGGGGCTGAGCGCAAAATGGCGCCCGCGCCGCCCTCAGCGCCGCGAGAGGCGCCCGGCCCGCCCCCGCCGCCCCCGCTCCGCGCGCTGATTCGCTGTCTTGCACGTCAATCAATGCGTAAACGAATGGGAGCGTGCGGGGCGCCGCTGCGCGGGAGGGGGAGGAGAGGCGGCGAGTGGCTCGGGGGTGGTGTCAATCAGGCGGCGCGGCCCCCTAATTGGCTGAGATCGCCGCCATTTTTACGTCTCCACCAATTGCAATCGACCCCCCCAACAGAGCGCCCGCCCCGGGACGCGCGGCGAGTTGTGCGCATGCGCGCGCAAACGCGATTCGCTCAAGGGGCGAGGAGGCTCAACGCGAGCTGTGATTGGAGGAGAGGCAGCGACGCGGGGCAGGGATTGGGCAGCGGCACTGTCAGTCAGGCGGAGGAGGCGGGGCCGGCCCTGGTCCCGATCCGCGCTGGTTTGAGGCCTTTTAAACTGGTTTCGGTTAAATTAAAATGGTTTGTGGTAAATTAAAGTGGTTTGAGGCAAACTAAAGTGGCCTGAGGTGATTTAAAGCGGTTTGGGGTGATTTTAATTGGTTTGAGTTAAATTATACTGGTTTGACGCTGACTCCAACTGGTTTTCCCCCCCATTTTCCCCAACTTTTCCACATTTTTCCCAATCTCCCCCCTATTTTTTTTCCCCCCACATTTTTCTCATCATTTTTCCCAACTTTTTCCCAATTTCCCCCCATTTTATCCTAATTTCCCCCATTCTTCCTAATTTCCCCTCATTTTTCACAATTTCGTCCCATTTTCCACAATTTTTTCTTTTTCTCCATTTTTTTCCCAAACTCCCTCGATTTTTCCCAATTTCCCCCATTCTTTTCCTAATTTTTCTCAATTTCCCCCCATTTTTTCCCTTTTTCGTCCCATTTTCCCCCAAATTCCCTCCATTTTCCCCCAATTTCTCCTCATTTCCCTCCATTTTTTTCTCCATTTTCCCCATTTTTCCAACCGTTTTCTCCTCCTTTTTTCTAATTTCCAATTTTTCCCAATTCTCTCCCCATTTTCCGCAATTTTCTCCCGTTTTTTTCCCAATGTCCCAAATTTTCCCCAATGTTTTCTCATGTTTCCCAAATGTTTCCCTTTTTTTCCCTTTTCTCCTCAATGTTTTCCCCATTTTCCCCCCATTTTTTCCCCCAGTTTTTCTCTATTTCTCCCCAATTTTTCCCAATTGTTTCTACTTTCCCCCTATTTTTTCTCCATTTTTCCCAATTTCCCCCATTTTTCCCCAATTTCCCCATTTTTTTCCCAATTTCCTCCATTTTTCCCAATTTCCCCCATTTTTCCCCAATTTCCCCTTGTTTTCCCCCAATTTTTCCCAATTTCCCCCATTTTTCCCAATTTCCCCCATTTTTTTCCCAATTTCCCTCATTTTTTCCCCAATTTCCCTTGTTTTTTCCCAATTTCCACAATTTCTCCCCATTTTTTCCCAATTTCCCTCATTTTTCCCCTTTTTTTTCCCAATTTCCTCCATTTTTTCCCAATTTCCCCCCATTTTTTTCCCAATTTCCCCCTTGTTTTTTTCCCAATTTTCCCCAATTTCCCCCCGTTTTTTTCCCAATTTCCCCCGTTTTCTCCCCCATTTTTTCCCAATTTCCTCCATTTTTTTCCCAATTTCCCCCATTTTTTCCCCAATTTTTCCCAATTTCCCCCATTTTTCCCAATTTCCCCGTTTTTTCCCCCAATTTTTCCCAATTTCCCTCATTTTTTCCCCAATTTCCCCTTGTTTTTTTCCCAATTTCCACAATTTCTCCCCGTTTTTTTTTTCCCAATTTCCCCCCATTTTCTCCCCATTTTTCCCAATTTCCCCCCATTTTTTTCCCCAATTCTTCCCAATTTCCCCTTGTTTTTCCCCGTTTTTTCCCAATTTCCCCCCATTTTCCCCCCAATTTTTCCCAATTTCCCCCCCATCCCGGGCCGCAGCATTTCGGGTTTTTTTTGTTTATTTTTTTTTTTTTTGTTAGAAAACCTTAAAAAAAACGAAATTTTTATTGAACTTTTGGAAAAGAGGCGCAAAGGGGGGGGAGGGGAGGGGAGGCCCCGGGTGGGGGGGGGGGGGGGAGGGGGGGGGAGCCCCAAAATCGGGGGAATTCCCCCCAAAAAAGGGGGAGCCCCCCATAAATACAGAAACAACAAAAAAAGGGAAATTTCGGGGCCGTTTTGGGGGAGATTCGGGGTCCGTCCCCACCCCCACACCCCAGATTTGGGGGAAAAAAATGCAAAAATCGGGACCCGAAAGCCCAAAGTTCTGGGAAAGGACCCCGAAAATTGGTGGGAGAAACCAAAATCCTGGGAAATGACCCCAAAAATCTGAGGGGAAACTCAAAATCCTGGGAAATGACCCCAAAAATTGTGGGGAAATCAAAAACTGTGGGAAATGACCCCAAAAATTGGAGGGAAAACTCAAAATCCTGGGAAATGACCCCAAAAATTGGTGGGAGAAACCAAAAATCCTGGGAAATGACCTCAAAAATTTTGGGAAATCCAAAACTGTGGGAAATTACCCCAAAAATTGGAGGGAAAACTCAAAATCCTGGGAAATGACCCCAAAAATCTGAGGGGAAACTTAAAATCGTGGGAAATTACCCCAAAAATTTTGGGAAATCAAAAACTGTGGGAAATGACCCAAAAAATTGGAGGGAAATCCCAAAATTGTGGGAAATGACCCCAAAAACTGGAGGGAAAACTCAAAATTCTAGGAAATGACCCCAAAAATTGGTGGGAGAAACCAAAATCTTAGGGAAATGACCCCAAAAATTGGAGGGAAATCCCAAAATCCTGGGAAATGACCCCAAAAATCTGAGGGGAAACTCAAAATCCTGGGAAATGACCCCAAAAATTGGAGGGAAAAACGCAAAATTCTAGGAAATGACCCCAAAAATTGTGGGAAATCCAAAATCCTGGGAAATGACCCCAAAAAATTGGAGGGGAAAACACAAAATTGTGGGAAATGACCCCAAAAAAATGAAAGAAAATCCAAAATTGTGGGAGAAAAATGTGAATTTTGGGGGTTTTTTGGTTTTTTTTTCCCAAAATTCCGTTTTCCCTCCCCCCCCACCAAATTTAAGGTTTTTCCCACGAATTTTGGGGATTTTTTTCCCCCAAAATTTCTTTTTTTTTTTTCCCCCCACAATTTTCAATTTTCCCCCCCAAAATTTGGGATTTTTTTCCCCAAAAAATTTCGGGATATTTCCCCCAAAATTTGGGATTATTTTTCTCCAAAAATTTTGGGATATTCCCCCCAAAATTTCCAATTTTTCTCCCAGAATTTGGTAAATTTTTTTCCCCCCCAAAATTTCCAATTTTCCCCCCTAAAATTTGGGACTTTTTTTCCCCAAAAATTTCAGGATATTTCCCCCAATATTTGGGACTTTTTTTCCCCCAAAATCTGGAATTTTCCCCCCCTAAAATTTGAGATTTTTTTTTCCCCCAAAATTTGGGCTATTTCCCCTAAAATTTCCAATTTTTCTCCCAGAATTTGGTAATTTTTTTTCCCCCCAAAATTTCCAATTTTCCCCCTAAAATTTGGGATTTTTTTTCCCCAAAAATTTCGGGATATTTCCCCCAAAATTTGGGATTTTTTTTCCCCCAAAATTTGGAATTTTCCCCCCTAAAATTTGGGATTTTTTTTCCCCTAAAAATTTTGGGATATTGCCCCCAAAATTTCCAATTTCCCCCTCCACCAATTTGGGATTTTTTTTCCCAAAAAATTTGGGTTATTTCCCCCCATAATTTCCAATTTTCCCCCAAAATTTGGGATTTTTTTTTCCCCAAAAATTTGAATTTTCCCCCCCAAAATTTGGGATTTTTTTTTTCCCCAAAATTCTGAATTTTCCCCCAAAATTTTTTTCCCCAAACAATTTTGGGACATTTCCCCCCAAAATTTCCGATTTCCCCCCCAAATCCCGGGGTCGTTTTCCCCGCCCTCCCCCCTCCCCCCCCCCGGGCAGATTTTTGGGGTGAAACGCGGGGATTTCGGGGGTGGGGGAGGGGCGGCCCCGCTACTTCCTCTTCTTCTTGGGGGGGTGGGGGCCGGCCCCGCCCGGGGGGGGCCCTTCCGCTTCCGGCCCCGCCCCCGCTCCTCCTCCTCCTCGTATTGGCTCTCGCGGTCGGCTGGGGGAAAAAAATGGGATTTTGGTTAAAAATCACAATTTGGGTGATTTTTGCTATTTTTGGGGGGAATTCGGGGGGATTTGGGGTTTTTTATTAGGGGGGATTTTGGGGTGAATTTTTGGGGTGGATTTGTTATGAATTTGTTCAGGCTCTCGCGGTCGGCTGGGGTGAAAAAATGGGATTTTGGTAAAAATCAGAATTTTGGTGATTTTCGCCCTTTTTGGGGGAATTCGGGGGGAATTTGGGGTTTTTTTTAGGGGGATTTTGGGGTGAATTTTTGGGGTGGATTTGGGGTGAATTTGTTCTGGGTCTGGCGGTTGGATGGGGCGAAAAAACCGGATTTTGGTTAAAAATAACAATTTTGGTGATTTTTGCTGTTTTTGGGGGAATTTGGGGTTTTTTATTAGGGGGGATTTTGGGGTGAATTTTTGGGTGGATTTGGGGTGAATTTGTTCAGGCTCTCGCGGTCGGCTGGGGTGAAAAACCCGGATTTTGGTTAAAAATCAGAATTTTGGTGATTTTCGCCCTTTTTGGGGGAATTCGGGGTGAATTTGGGGGTTTTTATTAGGGGAGATTTTGGGGTGAATTTTTGGGGTGGATTTGGGGTGAATTTGTTCAGGCTCTCGCGGTCGGCTGGGGTGAAAAAATGGGATTTTGGTTAAAAATCAGAATTTTGGTGATTTTTGCTGTTTTTGGGGGAATTCGGGGGAATTTGGGGGTTTTTATTAGGGGGGATTTTGGGGTGAATTTTTGGGGTGGATTTGGGGTGAATTTGTTCTGGGTCTGGCGGTCGGATGGGGTGAAAAAACCGGATTTTGGTAAAAATCAGAATTTTTGTGAATTTGGGGATTTTTGGGGGGTATTTTGGGGGTTTTTAGGGTGAATTCGAGCTGAATTTGGGAAATTTTGGGGGTTTTTTGGCGGTGAATTTGTTATGAATTTGTTCAGGCTCTCGCGGTCGGCTGGGGCAAAAAACGGAGATTTTGGTAAAAATCAGAATTTTTGTGATTTTGGGGGTTTTTGGGGTTCGGTATTTTTGAGGCTAATTCGGGGGTTTTTGGGGTTAATTTTAGGGTGAATTTGGGGGTTTTTGGGGTGAATTTTGGGGTGAATTCAGGGGGTTTTAGGGGTGAATTTTGGGGTGAATTTTGGGGATTTTGGGGTTAATTTTGGGGTGAATTTTGGGGTGAATTAGGGGGTTTTTTGGGGTTAATTTTAGGGGTGAATTTGGGGGTTTTTGGGTGGAATTTTAGGGTGAAATTTGGGGATTTTGGGGTGAATTTGGGGGTGAATTTTGGGGTGAATTTGGGGGTTTTTGGGGTGAATTTTGGGGCGAATCCGGGGGTTTTTGGGGTTTTTTTGGGGTGTGGTGATTTTGGGGCGAATTCAGGGGTTTTTGGGTCTGACCTTTGCGCGCCTCCTCCTCCAGCTCGTCCCAGTCCTTCCCGCTCTCCTCCTCCGAGCCCAGCGAGTCCTTGGAGTATTCTGGGGGAAAAACCCGGGAAAACGGGAAAAAACGGGGAAAAAGGGGAAAAACGGGGAAAAATGGGGAAAAAAATGGGAAAAAAAAGATTAAAAAATGGGTAAAAATAGGGAAAAATAGGGGGAAAACCAGGGAAAAGTGGGAAATGCAGAAAATACCAAAAAACCAGAAAAATAAAAGAAAAAACAGGGAAGGGGAAAATGAGAAAAATGGGAAAAAAGGGAAAAAAGGGAAAATGGAACCCAGAATGAGCCCAAACTTCCCAAATCCCCGTTTTTCACTCAAAATTGCCATTTTTGACCCCAAACACCCATTTTAAACTCAAAATTCCCATTTTTGACCCTAAACACCCATTTTAACCCAATATTCCCATTTTTAATTCAAATTCCCCCAAAAATCCCCATTTTTCACCCCAAAAATCTCCATTTTTACCTAAAAATCTCCATTTTTACCCCATTTTTTCCCCCCTCCTGGTGCCCCCAGGTGCACAGAAAATGCCCCAAAATCCCCATTTTTCACCCCAAAATCCCCATTTTTTCCCCCATTTTTCACCCCTTATTGTCATTTTCCCACCATTTTTTCTCTTTTTTTAAGCATTTTTTTCTCATTTTTTCACCCAATTTTTTGCATTTTTTCACCCCATTTTTCCTCATTTTTCCACTCCATTTTTTTCTCATTTCTTCGACCCATTTTTCTCAATTTTTCACCAATTTTTCTCATTTTTTTCACCCCATTTTTTCACCCAACTTTTTCTCATTTTTTTCACCATTTCCCTCCATTTTTCCCCATTTTTTCCCTGTTTTTTTCCCCATTTTTTCCCCGTTTTTTTCCCATTTTTTCCCCGTTTTATTTTTTCCCATTTTTCCCCCATTTTTCCCTGGTTTTTTTTCCCCGTTTTTTTACCCCATTTTTTTCCCCGTTTTTTTCACCATTTCCCTCCATTTTTTCCCCATTTTTCCCCCCTTTTTCCCCGTTTTATTTTTTCCCATTTTTCCCCATTTTCTCCCCATTTTTCCCAGTGTTTTTACCCCATTTCCCTCCATTTTCTCCCCATTTTTCCTCTTTTTTTTTCCTGTTTTTTTCCCGTTTTTTCCCTGTTTTTTCCCATTTTTCCCCTTTTTATTTTTTTCCCATTTTTCCCCATTTTTCCCCTGTTTTTCCCCATTTTTTTCCCCATTTCTCCCCATTTTTTCCCTGGTTTTTTACCCCATTTCCCTCCATTTTTCCCCCTTTTTCCCCATTTTTCCCACATTTTTTTCCCCATTTTTTCCCATTTTCCCCATTTTTTCCCCATTTTTCCCCGTTTTTTCCTGGTTTTTTTCCTGTTTTTTTCCCCGTTTTCCCCCATTTTTCCCCCATTTTTTCCCCATTTTCCCCCCGTTTTTTTTCCCATTTTCCCCATTTTTTCCCCGTTTTTCCCCCCTTTTTTCCCATTTTTTCCCCATTTTTTCCCCATTATTTTACCCCATTTCCCTCCATTTTCTTCCCATTTTTCCCCCCATTTTATTTTTCCCATTTTCCCCCATTTTTTCCCTGTTTTTTCCCCCCATTTTCCCCCCGTTTTTTTTCCCATTTTCCCCATTTTTTCCCCGTTTTTTTCCCCCATTTTTCCCCCCGGTTTTTTTTCCCATTTTCCCCATTTTTTTCCCCCATTTTCCCCCCATTTTTTCCCCCGTTTTTTTCCCCATTTCCCCCATTTTTTCCCCCATTTTTTTTCCCCACCTGACTCCTCGGCCTCGGACGAGTAATCTTCATCGCTGTCCTCCTCCTCCTCCTCATCCTCCTCCGAGGGGTTGAAGGTTTCGTCCTCCAGCTCCGACTCCGACTCCCCCGGCTCCGCCTCCGAGCCCTGCGCGGGCGCACCCAAAACCCCGGGGTTTACACCCAAAAATCCACTTGTACCCAAAA